TTTTGTGAATATGGTGCTGTGGCTACTTTATGCACAGAGTCATGTTTTTATTTCTTTATAGTCATATGACAGTTCCGTCCTCCTTTGTACCTAGCCCTGATTAAAAGAATCCTAAAACTATTGCTACTTACCCCTACCTCTTTTCTGCTTGTCTATAAATACTGGCTAAAGCTAAATCTATCCTGAGAAGGAATTACCACTTTTAGCTCTACTGATTCTCCTAATCCATTTTCTAAACCTGATCATAAAAACAAAGAAATATACTAGAATATGACCATGAAAGATAGTTATCCTGAGCACAGAAATATAGAAATATAAATAGTAAAAGTTCTTAAAGTAGCTTTTTATTCTCTAAGAGGTAGTGGGGAAAGAACTCTTGCTTTGGAGTCAGTCAGATCTGCCTTTAATTCCAAGATTGGCCATTTATTAGTGAAACTATCTGGGTACACTATCTTCACTGAAGTTCATTTTTTTTTCCACCTGGAAAATGAATATAACACTGCAGAATGTGAGAATTAAGGAATTCATCCTTTCAACCTGTATTTGTAGAGAATCCTGTTTTATGCTCTGGGGAAACAGCAAAAAGTTAACCTTGTGGAGCTTATTTAAATCCTAGAGTATGAAAAAAACAAGTAAAAATCAAAATCTGTTATGTTAGATGGTGATAAAGAGCTATGGAGAAAAAGCAGGAAGGATAGAAAGGTTGTATTTGTAACCCCTTCTTGGCTGAGTTGCTTGAAGCCAGCGATTGATCTTTCTCCCCTATCTCTAGCATTTATCACAGTGTCAGCTGTATCTTAAGTGCTGCACCAATGTTTCCTGAAGGAAAGGAGTGACTGAATAAAGTTGAGAAGTTTATCTCATGAAATCACTGTAATACTGCTTAGCTGGACACTTTCACATATTTCCAGACAGATACTAATTATGTCAGCAGGAATGATGCCCTTCTGTTCTCCTTGTTCTTAATGGATCTTTCTTATCACTTGTTAAATTTTCTTGGAAATCAGAATTATTTTAATGTAGCTTCTAAATAATAATATAACCTCACTTTTAAAAAAATATATGCTTTTTTCAGGCTCTTGCTGAGTTATTGAATTTGACAAATGATTTAATATGACAATTTTTATAACAAGGAGTTTTGATATTCTAGAGTCTGGAAAACTGGCATGCATTATAGTTCACATCTTAAAATCATGCTTTAGAGCAGTATTTGGAGTCAATATACAGTGTGCTTAATACGTAGTTAAATTGTATAAAAAGAAGCCCACAAAACCCAGTAGCAGACACATCTCATATAAAATATAGCAGGACTTACAGATGATTGGGATTTTTCTTACTTGTGTTTTTCAACATATTTACATATATTCTTTTGTTAATTATTCCCCATTCTTATTAAAGTATCATAAATTGAATATAAAGGAGTAGGATAATTTTTCATATTGTTACCTTGATAGATTTAAGATGTGCAGAATTTGATAGACTAGAATAAAAAAGAATTAACCCAGAGTATTGGAAACAACCTCCCTCTTGTGGTATTTGATGAAAAAATTAGATAATATATGCAAAAATGCTTTACAAATCATTATTTGTATTATTGTAAAGCTTACTACCTGTGTCTCCAGGAGGGTGGGACTTTGTTTCACTGATACATTACCATTACCCATGACAAAATATATGTGTTCAACGAACATTTGGTGAATATATAAATATTTTGTTTGGGTAATGAATAATTATTTCACAGAAGAAAATTGTACCATCAAATGAATTTGAGGTTCTACAATTCCTGCAGGTTAAATCTGAATTCCTGTCTTTCAAGATTAAACCAATCTGGGACTAGGGTTATAGCTCAGTGGTAAAGCTCTTAACTCATAAATGTGAGGCACTGAGTTCAATCCTCAGTACTACATAAAAATAAATAAAGGTATTGTGTCCATCTACAACTAATAAAAATAAAAATAAAAAACCCGAATCTAGTTGGCAGTGTTCTTTTCTACCCCAATAACGTGAAAAATATTACCTTCGTTCAAGCTACTCAAGAACAAATTCTCCATGGCTATTGATGCCTTCCTTGAATTTCTGCCTGAAACCTTTAAAATACCCAACTCAAATCCAAAATCTTCCTTTGAACTATTTTAACATATGCTTGAATTCTCTGATATTATTCATTCTCATTCATTCTCTCGCTCGCTCTCTCTCTCTCTCTTTTAATTTTTTCATTTCAGTCCCTAAGGGACTATAGCAGCCCTTTAAATATGGTAAGTACCCAGCATATATTCGTGGATACATTTTTCACAACACACTATTAGTTCACAACTTTTAATCCAACGAGGGTAAATCATTTTCCTGAATCTTCCCTTGTCCCATAATAAGGTACAATTGTTGTTTTGAGTAGTTAAAAAAAAAAAGTATTCTCTCCGTTAAATCCGGTTTGTCAAAACAATTTTTCACTAATATCACAATGTACTAGAAAGATCAGAAACATGCATTCCTACTTGCAATTCTAGTACTGTTTTAGGGGATGTCTTTGTTGTAACTAATTTCTTGACTCTCTGATTTCCCCTTTAATTACTCCGATCCAATTAATAAGGTCCAATTAATAAGGCCGAAGTATCGGCAAGGCAATTGTCATTCTGGATCTAAAATTCGAGTTCCCTCCACTCCCTAAGTCATTCCAGCGAAAGTAAGATGCTTAGGAAATCCTGGAATCCATCGTCTAAATAGCTATAGTTTCAAGAAAAAAAAGTGCCTGGGTGTAGTTTAGTGGTGAGAGAAGCGCTGAGACAGGTGCAAGTCTCCTAGGGATGTTTTTGGGCGTCTCCGGCCAACTATCTTCACATAAAACTCAAGTTTATTTATCTCACTGCGCTACTGCAGAGCGGACTTACTCCAGTTTTGTAGAGACCAAAAAAAAAAAAAAAAGAAAGAAAGAAAGGAAAAGAAAAAAGAAAAGCGTGCTCTCGCGGCTCCTGTTTTTGTTTTGTAAAAAAAAAAAAAAAAAAAATACAGACACCGACCCAATGTGTATCCAATGCACATTGGTCATCAATTTCAGGGGCTCTAAGGGGTCGTACAAAATTATGACTGGTTTTGAGCAAGCAGCTAATTATGCAAATACGGCAGATATATAGAGACCTACAGAACTGACAGGTGGGCGAAAGCTCCATTACAACTGGCTCCTGGTGCAGCGTGGGTGGGAGACCCGGGCGCCAGGAGCCTGGGCGGCCCCGGGGCGGGCGGCAGGACTAGAAGCAGCCTGACTTTCCCCAGTGCTTTGTGTTTCCTGTCACGGAGGTACAGAAATAGCAGTGCAGAGGCGGGAAGTCTCCTTGACGTATTTTTGTTGTTGTTTTTCCTGGCTGGCACTGGGAAGCAGAAGCCGCGAGGAACACGCTTGTAGGGATCTGCGGCGCCCCAGCTGCCCTGCAGCAGAGTTCGGCCGTCGCGCTCCGGCCACTTCCAGAACGCTCCGAGCAGCTTCCGCAGGCCCCGCCCGCTGTCGGGGTTTCCCCGCCGCCCGCTCTCATTTGCATGGCGCTGCCCCTCCCCCGCTGCCATTGGCCGGCACCGGGCTCCGCCCCCACACCGC